AGCGCTTTATGATTATGAAATAAAGCAATATGCGAAGCTCTTGAACATACCTCATTTCCGAGGTGTCTTCATGCGTGACACTTTACCACGAGACGGTCCACGTAAAAGAGAATGCGCCGTCGTGAACTTAGATATTTCACAAAACAACGGAACTCATTGGGTAGCTTATAAAAAGATAAACAACAACGTTGAGTATTTCGATTCATTTGGTAACCTGAAGCCTCCACAGGAACTTGTTCGATATCTGAAAAACGCTAAAATTTTCTACAACAACGATCCTTACCAAACTTATAATCAAGTTAATTGCGGACAATTGTGTTTGAAATTTCTATACAATAACAACAACAACGATGGATAATAAAACATTATCGGAATTTACATTAGAAGAGTTTGAGAAGAATATTCCGCCGCTGGAATATTTAATAAGCAATGTGAGACCTGCAGAATTATTGAGTATATGGCACAAACTGCCTGCAGAATACACATCCAATTTTGATCTTCAAATACGACTTCCATGCTATGTTCACTACAACAGACCTGATTGGACAACACATTGGGATGGACCGGCTACTGCTCAAGCAAATTGTTATTTCTGTAAATTATCCATTCGAAAATAAACAAAAAAAAAAAACTTGAATAAATGCTTAGTACACAGCTATATTTTTTCATTCATCATGTCGCAGTTGTTGAGAGTCAATAGCACTACTCATATATTTTCATTTCGTCCTTCAACACCGATAGTGTTGGATCCGAAAAAAGATTATGAATTGGCGCTTAGGTCTTTTACTTCATACAATTCCATACCGAATATTGAAAAAGGAGATAAATTTTATTATATCGACCGGATAGGTGGTGGTGGTGGTCAATTAAAAGTCATCGAGTTTCCGACAGGTTGTTATGAAATTACCGACATAGAAACATTTATACGAACGCAAATGAATCTTGAAAATGAAGTTGCTCCTCCGGATGATTATTTTTCTCTAAAACCTAACAATAATACACTGCAATGTGAAATCTTTAGCAAGTATTATAAAATAGTTTTTACAGAACCGAATAATCTTGGACATCTATTGGGATTCTCGAAAAAAGTTCTTAATCCTGGTCAAAAGCATTCTTCTGATTTACCTGTAAACATAATAAAAGTATCAACCATACACTTTGATGCTAACATTACGTCGGGAGCCTTTGACGGAGACACGCCTGCACACACGATCTACGAATTTGCTGTGACAGCCGATCCTGGATACGCTATAGTCGAAACACCTGTAAATTTACTATATCTACCTGTTATACCGAAACAAGAAATAACCAACATCACAGTGTTGGCTTTAGATCAAGACGGTCGTCCTGTAAACTTTCAAGGTGAAACTAGTACTCTTGTGTTGGAGTTGAGAGCGAAGCGCAGATGGGATTAGTGATTATAAGACATAGTGGTGCTTCCAAGGCAACTTCAGTATTACCCCAAGCACCTAAGCGACGACATCTACTACTAACTACATCAAATATCCTGTTTCTACGCTCACTTGGATATCATGTCAACAACAACAAGAATCATGTACAAAAAGAGAAAAACTGAGGAGGCAGCAGCAGCAGCATCACATACTTCTCCGATGTTTGATCTATATCGATCTCCAGCATTCGATGAATCTATTCGCAAGGCTGAGTATAGATCTTATACGCCGTTCATCAGGTCATTTAATTGTAATGATGTTGTGGAATTTAGCATCAATCAAGTAGATTCGTTCTTTGCAATGAACGCTTCCCTTCTATCTATCAAAGGAAAAGTTGAAATAACTGGAGGAGGAGGAGCAGGAGATGTATCTTTAGCTCCAAACTTTGGTGCCTTCCTATTTGACTCTTGCACTTACAGTGAATCCGCTAGAGAAGTTGAAACAGTACGTGATCCTGGTATTGTAAGTACTGTCCGAGCTTACGTATGTTACAGTGAGGAAGACTCAAATCATATGGCTATAGCTGGATGGAACTATCCTTCAACACCTATAATGGCGTCAACACATAACAAGTCTTTTAGCTTGCTAATGCCGCTTAAACATATTTTCAACATTTTCAATGATTATCCTATGATTACGTGTGGCAGACAAACTCTCAGATTTGTGAGAGCTAGAAACGATAACGATTGTATCATTATCAAGGAAAAAACTGGAACGACGACGACAGCGAAAATAACTATTGAAAGCATGGAACTGAAAATCAAACATATTTACCCGAGTGATGATGTGAAAGAACAACTTTTGAAAGCTATTCAAACTGATAAGCCGATACTTATACCATTTAGAAAATGGGATCTGAATGAACTGCCTGCAATTACCGCAGATGCGAGAAGAGAAATATGGTCAGTTAAAACTAGCACCGCAATCGAAAGACCACGTTTCATTATAGTATGTTTCCAAACCGGTAAACGTGACGTCGCAACCTCAGACCCTACCCTGTTTGATCACGTGAATGCTGCTAGTATTCGAGTATCTTTAAATGGTGAATACTATCCCAACGAACGTATGCAATTGGACTTTGCAAACAATCACTTTACTGAAGCTCATTTCAACTATAGCGACTTTCAAACCAGCTATACAACTTCTTCTTCTCCTCTGAAGAGATGTCTTTTAGATTATACCGCTTTTAAAAATCGCGCTTTGTTTGTTATTGACTGTTCCAAACAAGAGGAAACCATGAAATCATCAACTGTTGATGTTAGATTGGATATCGAAGCCGATACTGGCTTTCCAACCAACACCAAGGCCTACTGCATCATTATACATGACTGCTTAATCGAGTACTTCCCCCTCACCGAAGTTATTAAAACCATCTCGTAAGCAACGAAGGACTCTCAGTTCCGCATCAGACATCATGAGGATCGCGTTTGTTGACATTCAAGGCTTTACAGTTGACGGATTATTCGTACCTAAAGAACTATGTATCGAAATTGGTTTCAAGAAAAGTCATTACATCTTTACACCTCCGCAACCTTTTTCTACATTAAATACTAAAGACAAGAAAACTGTCGCTTACTTGGAGAAGAATTTCCATGGGCTTAAATATTCTTCCGGCGACGTTAAATATTCCAAGTTAAATGAAATAATTAAAAATAAGGTGATATATGCGGCTGACTATGTCTACGTTCGTGGAGAACAGAAAGCAAACTTTTTACTCAAGAAATGTCACATTTTTGGTGTTTTTCCCAACATTATTGATGTTTGCAAGTATGATGGTACACCGTGTGCTACTGGAAACTTTGTTGCTGATTCCAATCCATGCCACACCAACGGACAATTTTCCTGTACCCAGAGAAATGTTGAACGTCTACGCCACTGGTTTTCAAATATCATATTACCTATGTAGTTTTTTCTATTTTCAATAAAATATTAAACGTATTATTGTAGTTTTATTGAAAATACCTCTGGTTTGCGAAATAATTGTCAGAATGTCTATACTATTTTCATTTTGAACGGTATCATCCTGTATAATAATAACAGTACATCGTATACAGGTTATGAGACATTCTGACCGACCGACCGACCGACCAGAGGAGCCCACCACGCTATTTAGGTCACGCCTTGCTATATACGATTTAACGATATACCGTCGGTCCATCGATCCGCTATTTTTCGATGCACCCCTGTATACACGTTGCCCCCCGTAATCCACGCCAACACCAGACAGGTGCGACATCGGCGCCATCTATGCGCGAGATGCCCAACCCATCAATGGCAGCTGTCCAATGACGCATAGATTCCGTTAGGTTTGTACAGCGCCAAACAAATCGGCGCCATCTATGCGCGAGATGCCCAACCCATCAATGACAGGTGTCCAATGACGTATGACAGATGACGTTTTAACGCCATCTATGCGTGAGATGCCCAATGACGCATGACAGGTGTCCAATGACACACAGATTCCGTTTGGTTTGACAGCGCCATCTAGCGGCGGAATCCCCAACTCATGAATTTCGATTACAGATTCCGTCCAACAACCTGTCAATGGCGCGCGACGCCAGCGCCTCTGGTGGCGGATTTTGGAAGTTTTGAGACCGAATCCCCATAGACCATCTACTAACATTCAACCATAATTAATGACCCCCAAAATAATTTATCAATTCTGACGGTCCCAATAAGAATAATGGAAAACTGTTATCAAATTGTTGCATTCATCGCTCCTTGATACGCGTGCGAAGTTTCAAATTAATCAAACTTGTTTTTCTAATCTACTGCGAGCCCCAAATTGCTAGCATGTCTTGTGAGCTGCAGGCTAGTAGACATATATAATATACTCCATATATCTCTAGAGCAGGATGTGATCAGGTATAAAGATCGCATTTAGCTGTTTGTCTGCGCAACAGCGGTGCTATTTGATCATTGATTTCGACCTGAGAGCGTATATGTTGTTCTTAAGCCGAAAAGAGTTCAAATGGATCCGCAAAATGCGTGTCATCTTTGACGCAGTATCATGATTTCAATGTAGGCAACGCACCTACCTACTACGCAGTAGGAATTTTACAGAAATCGCAATCTAACATAGAAAATCACAAATGATGAAAAATTGCACTGTAACACGTGCTTCTTCAACAGAGCCTGGATACTGCTCGCCTTTGCAGTATGTCAGGGGTCGATACATAGAAGCAGGTGGTGTATCTCATTCTTATTTCCACAAGGTATACTGTAGACATATTTTTCAGATACGCCAATGGAACATCTACATTACAGAACTTCATTCAGCACCGACCGCCTCAATCCCCTTTTACGAAACTTAAATCCAATGGAGATCCCAAATTCATTAACTCACAAACACAAATACCGCCCATAAGTCCATAAAGCTCTTAAAGCATAATTTATAAGCGATTCATAACACTAAACCGGGGAACATGGGGAATAAGCGGCATTCTAATAACTGCCCTTAAAAACATGGCTAACCAAGGAAGTTGCACAGCGATTCATGGAGTGCTAAACCAGAGCACTCATTATGTCTGGATAATTTAGTAGGCCATTATGCAGGCAGATAATGATAGGGAGAGCCCTGGAGTAAAATATGTCCCGCGAAATGGTAGGTAACTTTTTGTTTTTAGCGGACTAATGGGGAAGTATTATAACCGTGTCTAATCTCGAGGTAAATATGACGAAACCGACGATACCTGTTTTGCCAGATGTCCAACTGCCACTTGAGTACTGTCTCTCCTGCTAGGTTATGCCCAATATTCTTGAAACAGGAGCGTTTGTACTAAACAGGATCAGGACACAACAGCATAGAAAAGCTTTCACCTAGAGAAACAAATACCGCCCCGGCAAAACCGTTTGTATTATTTTTCATACCCCAAATTCCACGCCTCTTACATGACAAAAAATCGTATTTTCCTGAACATTCAAGTTAAAGCGTCGATAACATATTCTAGTCACCAAAGATCAGGTGTATGAGAAGCTGTTACATTGCTGACAAGCTGAAGTTCCTTTAGTAGTGATCGTTGTATTATCAGATATCAAACTATCGGTGTCTTTATAAATTATCTTAACTATAACTTTTGGTCTGCATATTAAAGAAGACATCCAAGGCAACTGTAACTCTAGAAAGATTCTTTTCCAACATACTGAGCAAGATGGGCCCACGGGTATACCAAGTATAACTGACAATACCATGGAAAACTTTAGGACTGCAAAGAGCAGAAAGAACAATTTGAATTCACTTGTTCGGTCCAGAAGCTTTTAATTCATGGCCCGCTTAACGGTGACTGATAATTTACAAGTTAATTTACCGAGATTTTGCGGCGAACAAGTCTCCAACAATTTTCTTCGAGAAGACGCCCGTAAATTTTAGTGATAAACGCGTCTCACTGCACCGAGAGACGGTTACAATCACCATCTGATAGACTTCTAAGGCTTTACCAAGGAGGTTCAGATACAGTTTTCCTATGTGGCTTCTACTCAAGAAAAGTCAACGAAACGAATATCAGCTGAAGCGACTATGTATGTTTCAGAAGTCTAGATATATTTGATAAATAGTAATGAAGGAACGCCCATTGTGCTTCTTGACCGTGTTATGAAAAAGTTATCAGAAAAAAGGAGAAACGTTTCAAATCCTTGACTGACAGTTTGACGTCATGTAGATACGAGTACATTATATTATGCACTGATACTGGAAAAATATTTTGACTCAATTTTAGTACTTCCAAAAACAGTAATTTATAAGGTATCTCCGGATTCATTCACTGGTGAGAGCAAGCGGGCCGAAGTAAAAATGTGAGCTGCAGCTGTAGTTGCATGCAAATCCTATGGCATCTTTATAGAGAGTTTGAAAGATTCTATATGAGATACACAGTATACACAGTTATCTCCGAGTCAAAAAACCTGCACTAGATTTAAGCGCATGTATTCAGCTATATAAAATAATGATTAAACGCACGTAAATAATGGATAAATATTGACAAGCTTTTATTTCAAATAAAACAAGCAGTGCAGACACGTTTGTTTTCCAGCTCTATCAGTATTAATTGATTTTTTCAAGCGTAAACATATTTGAAACAAATTGTTTGAAGTCGGCACTACAAACAAATAGTTCTTATACTGAATGGTTTTTATTTTGTATACAATAATTCAGTCCGCGACCAATGTTGGTCGTATATCGAACAAAGCTGCTCTTATTCACCATACAACCCCAATAATTGACACTACAGACTGATGATGAAAGAGCTCACTTAACAAAGAGATTGTCGCAAAATACAAAGTTCGCAAGACCACGTAACACCTGAAAATAATCGGTTGAATTTTCGTCCCTGTTCGCTTTGGTCAAGTGGAGGGGCTTCCGAGCAATTATCATACAGTATTATCGAGATCTCGGTCACACGTATTGAATATCATTCCAGAAAGAAGGTTTGTCCTTTGTTTATGTCAACCTTTCGAAAATTCTTCTTCAGGATGTGCTACAAAATTGTTACATGATAATTAAGCTCATTACAATATCAATAGCCTTATAGGAGGAGCAGTACCGTAAAACGTATTAAACAACATTAAACGTACAACATCGAATGTAGAATGCAATACTGGACAATGTGGGACTTCTTGATTGAACGATTTATTATTACATATTATTTTATTTCCCTAACTATTGTACTTTGTTTCGTTGGGATTGCCACCCCTGAAAGAGCACTTGAACGTTGTAGGTAGTTTTTAGTGGTATCCTAATGAATTTAATTATCATTCTTGTAGCACGTCCAACCTTGTCAGCTACCATGATTACAGCACTTCTAATTTAAATTGTCATCCATAATGGAGGGATGCCATCAGCTTGCCTTTTTTACTGGTGAATATTATTTGATCTACTTCCACGTTTGCCACAACTAATCTTAGCCTATTTCTGTTGCATTGCATATGTTGGGCGCAAAGCCCGAAAACGGCCAATGCTCGCTTTTTTTGCTCAATCTTAGGATTGGATTACTTAAAATTTCCAAAGCCCGAATTTCATTTCAATTTAAGGTTTTGGCCGTCTCCAATAAGCCAAACCTAGGATGGTGCAAATACGAAACGACCAAAGCTTGACATACATTTTTAGTGAATCAATATAAACTTTTAACAACTTTAGAAAACTTAGGTTTCCGGGGAATAGCATACAAACTTATAGAAAATTATTTGTCAAATCGAACACAGTGCATCAAAATTAATAACACATTCAGTGAACCCCATATTATATCATACGGTGTACCTCAAGGCTCAGTATTAGGACCCATTATATTTAATCTATTTATCAACGATTTGTTCAAAATAAGTAGTACAGGTAAAGTTATCGGATTTATGGATGATACAGCTATTCTCTATAAAAGCAACCAGTGGCAGACACTAAAAGCCACAATGGAACATGATTTCAAAACATTTATAAATTTCTTTTCGGAAAGAACTTTGACAATTAATTACAACAAAACACACTATATAGCATTTTCTTGTAACGACAGGCTCTCACCACAATTTAAAAAACTTGAAGTGCATACAAGCAGTGGTTTCAAAGAGATTCGGTCAGCCGATAAAATAAAATACTCAGGCGTGATTTTGAACAAACTCTTAAAATGGGATACTCATACAGAGTACCTTGTGAAGAGACTGGGATATTTTATTCCAAAATTCAGATACTTCAGAGATATTCTAGATAAGAAATATCTATATAATCATTATTATGCTTTTGTTTATACTCTATTACTTTACGGAATTTTGGCTTGGGGGCAGTTATGAATAATAATTACAAAAAGGTTGATGTAATCCAAAAATTAATTCTAAAATTGATCCTCCATAGGGGGATTACTTATTCAAGTGATTTTCTATATGTGGAGGCTCAGCTATTAGATTACAGACAAATTTATTTTTATTGTGGTCTGATACATTATTTCAAATATTCGAAATACTTGAATCGTACCATTCATAACTACCCAACAAGATTCAATCAAAATTCAATGTGTATTCCACAAACATCAAAAACCATTACACAACGATCTCTGTTTTTCTTGGGACCAAAATTCTATAACTTCATACCAGAGTCACTAAAAGTAATTAAATCAAATAAATCATTTAAAAAAGAACTTAAAAACGGATTTTACAACAACCAAGGTACTCATCCACGAAATTGTAGACCTGAAAAATCATTATCAAAATCAATAATATTTCCATCCATACTTTTACTTTAATTATAATTGTCTGGATATTTTTCCTGACATTACCATAATAATTCACCAAATTATACAGTATTAACGGTTTTTTTTCTTTTATACACTGACTGTACTATTAGTTTTTATTTTGAACAAACCCAAACACAAGTGCAAACTTTTTTTGGGTACTTTATGTTTATTTTGCACAATGTTTTGATATTTAACTGTATTTTGTGACAATAAACATTATTATTATTAGGAAACATTCAAAATGTGTGCAAGGGGCCACACCTAAATTACGTAACGCAGTTATTTCGAAATGTTGAATCCATCTCCCCTCTTTGTAACACTTTTGGCAAAAAATCACACTCATTTTATTTAAAGGCTATAGTAGTTCCGGAAACATTTTTGGTATATATTTGGCAATACAAAAAATATATAGATAGACCACCGTGCAAGGCACAATTTATTTTTCCGTACGTACAAACAGGATACATAACTTGACTACCTAAAATAGAAATACAGAAATAATTAGCAATTATTTTTCCGTACGTATAAACAAGATACATAACATGCCTGCTTAAAATAGAAATACGGGAACAATTAGCCAAACATAGACGTCATAAACTTGTATGTAAAAACAACATTTATGGAACTAAGGAAGACAAATGCTCGTATTAATTATTTATTTCTGTGTTGCATCTCACCTCTTTTTTAAACAACTGTATCTTTTGTTTGCGTAACTGTTCTTACTACCACATCTCATGAAACCCTGCTTTGATTGAGAGGCTCTAGCGGCGACAATTCTTAGTTTTAACTTTTTTTCTGGAAATTCTTCATGTCTATGAACCTATGGCAGCTACTTGGAATTCATTTGTTGTGTACAATTTTTCAAGTACACCTGATGGTGTTCCTAGCTGATAGAGGCTACTGTCTTCTTTCCATCCCATAGTATATGCCATCACGTTTCTTGTTGCAGCATGCCCTCTGTCTACATCTGAGATTCTAACTAAAACGCTTTGCCTAACACTAACAGGAGCAAATTTTTTGTTGGACCTCTGCAGCATTTCATCGGCCTGCATTTTTTGGGAATCGGATGATGCTTCACGTGCTTTGGTAATTTTCCCTTGCAAATCATGCATGGTTTTTCAGGTGTGCAGGTACACTGCAAAAAAACGTGTTACTGAATACTTTGCCCAAAAAATATAGATGTTAGTAATTTATTTGTAGTTTAATTTATTTCTTTTACTTAAATTGTTGAAACATCACTTACTTCTTTTTGTTTGGGTTGATCACTTCAGGTTTTGTATGATATTGCATGATTTTCTTCTTCTACATCTAAGCTGTTAGAGAAATCTACATTAGAATTGTCATTCAATATGTTTTCCAGCTCTTCTTCTCCAGTAATATTTTAAATGACTTTATGAGGTATATTTGATCGAATAGGCCATTATGTATATGGACCCCAAACATCGCCTCATACGGACTTCTGCTTATACCTCTATGAAAAGATCTGTTTTTTTTTAGCTGAACAAATCGCAATGGATGAGTCCAATTAGTGCTCTCGTTATCTGCCATCCAAGGTACTAAAATATCCCTAACATCCTGGTTTGTCCTTTTTACACTTCCCTGGCTTTGATAGTGCCTTGGCTTACCGTTAATTATTTTAGCTTCGAACATACCAGAAAGCTCATTTATGACAGCTGCTGTGAACTCTCTTGCATTGTCACTTTGAAGGATGCAAGGAGCACCTATTCTACAAAAAATGTCTAAAAGATTGTAAGCTACCTCCGCAGCTATTTTAGATTTGAAAAACTCAAATTTTGTCAGATGGTCCTGATAATTTACAATAAACTTAAAATCTTCATCTGGTTCTGTTTGCATATCTATAACATCCACCTGCACTGTTGAGTTCATGTTGTTGCTCAAAATTGGCCTGACCTTATGTGTTTTTTTCGACTGGCATTGTCCACATAAGCGCAAATTAATATCAATTATATCTCGCGTAATATTACAGTATTAGTAAGTTCTTTGTCCATGCACCGAGTTCTTTTATGTCCCGTATCAATGTGGGCTTTTTGAATGATTTCATACAATTCATCTATAGGTAATGCAAAAAATATTTTGTTTCGTCTTCACTAGAAGTTCGGTTTTTTATAAGTTTGCCTACATCTCCAATGATTAAAATGCCATACCTAGAGAAACTTTTATATCGGATAATAATTCATTATACTTTTCTGGAGTCAACATGAATGTATTCGATTTACTTTCGTGGTTATAAGATTTAATTTCAATTTAAACTCTCCTTCACATACAGCGGACATCGCAATATACAGGGTGAGTTCGAAGTTGAGTCATTTATTTTAACAGTGAGTAGATCTGGTCAAAAGAAATGTTTTTTTCCTTTAACATTTTTCTGGTAAAATTAAAGTAACAAAGTTATAGCCCTTTAGAAGTTTGAGTACCGCCCTGTCTCAATAATAATATTATATGCTCGTGTTTGGCAACAACGGATATAATCCGCCTTATCCGTTCATCGCATCGGAAACAAAAAAGCGAAAGAATTTGAAACGATGTTTTTACTACAATGTACAATTTTATTCAGTTGTATTCAGTCGATGTGTCAGTCGGTAACACGTGAATGAATAGTGGTGTTTGTTGCGTGACTCAAACGAAATAAAAAATGGCACATGTTTACGAAAATGCTGAATGTAGTACAAAGGGCTCGTGAATCTGGTAACTTAAGACCTCACAGGGGAGGGCATGCTGGTGCTCCAAGACCGCACGATCAAATACAGGTCCGCACTGAAATACTTGTCGGGAGGATACTTTATAAAACAAGGTAACATTTTTTCTTAGATTTTTTTTATTTTTACACACATATTTTGGTTTATCTTCCTTCTACAATCATTATCTGAAAATTAATGACTCAACTTCAAAGTCACCCTATATAAGACTGAACGTAAATATAAGATCACTACTAAGATACGTGTCAATACGACTAAAGCACTGACTCAGACTGTCACTCGACGCGATTGCGACGTGCGACGTCCCACAAAATCTTTCGAATTTCATTTGAATTTCGGGTTTTGGTCTTCTTAAATAGTTCAATCCTAAGATTGAGCAACAAAAAACGATCATTGGCCGTTTTCGGGCTTTGCGCTCAACATATACAGGGTGTTCTTTAATGATATGCGAATATTTAAGGATGTGAATCTACATGAAAAATTAATGTTAGTTTGCTTTATAAACTATCATCCAAAAATGTTTCCTTGCAAAAACTCTTGGTGTTGAAGTTTTAGGAAAAAAATTTAAATTGTTTATTATTTTCATAACCACTTCAGATATTTCACTGATAGTTAGTACGTAGTGAAAGTTAATATAGTTGCATATTTTTCAATGCAAAAATAATATTAAGCTTCAACAGTGGTGTGCGTACGGGTATTGACTTCGATATTTTTGAAGAAAAAATGGTACGCCAATGGTTTTTGCCAAACTAACATTATTTTTGAATTCCCCGTTCAATTTAAAACACGTGATCTTTCTGGAGTTGCGTTCTTTCAAAGCGCCATTTTTGAGTAAAAAAAATAAAAAACGTTCTATTGTCCGAGAAAATTAATGTAATAATTGAAGAATGCAATTTAGCAATAAATATCTAATTGCTCTGGAATATGTCACAGGCTTTTGACATCTGACAAGCCTGTCTTATTCAAATCTGTTAGCTGTGACATCTTTCTCATTATTTAGTTTTTACAATCTTGTTAATAATGGTGAATTATTCAAATGCAGAAATGGCAGAAATGCATTACGTATATGGCCTTGCCGACAATAATGGTCATAGAGATATCCCGATCGTGCTTTGCCAGATAGTCGAACCTTTTCTAATATTCATCGTCGTCTTGCTGAAACTGGTTCTGTCCGAAAAGGAACATATGAAGGTAGACCTCTAAGTGTGAGAACACCTGAAATTGAGGAAGCAGTGCTGCACGAAGTCGAAGAACATCCTGAAACGGGTACGAGGTAGATTGCTAGACACTTAAATATTTGCAATCAAATTGTTTGGAGAACTGGAGAACTTTAGTGGATTTTTTGTTATATCCTTACCATATACACAGGCATTACGTCCCATTGATTTTCCAAGGCGTGTGACCTTTTGTCAGTGGTAAAAAATTACACAAAATTCGCAACTTAAATCAATGATTCTGTACACGGACGAAGCTAATTTTTCACGAAATGCCATTCAGAATTTCCACAATAATCATTTGTGGGCAGAAGAAAATCCCTACGCCGTAACCGAAACCCATTTCCAACAACAATTTTCGGTTAACGTATAGGCAGGCATTATTGTCAACCACTTTATTGGCATATCCTTCTTGCCGGGACGACTTGACGGACAGACTTATCTCAATTTTCTTCAACAACAATTGAATTTGCTACTTGATGATGTTCCGTTAGTAATAAGAAACAATATGTGGTACATGCATGATGATGCACTAGCGCATTTCAGTGTAGCAGTTCGTAGTTATTTACAAACTGTTTATCCAAATCGTTGGATTGGCCGCGGTGGGCCCCAAGAACGGCCACCAAGGTCTCCAGACCTCAACAGTTTAGATTTCTCTTTGTGGGGCTATCTTAAGACACTAGTGTACACAAGACCCATTAACACTGAAGAGGAATTAAGAGAGAGAATAGTTGCAGCTTGTGATAGAATAAAAGACACTCCAGGGATATTTCAACGAGTGCGCAATTTCATGAGAAGGAGGGCGGAAGCAAGCATACTAAGTGAAGGGGGCCATTTTCAACGATTTTTGTAACCATTTCGTCGGTTTCAATGTTATCTTTATGTTGTCAGTTGTTGTTGTTCATTACCCCTAATGTGTTCAATTTTTCCAATCAAATTAATAATAATATTACAAGTTAGACAATAGAACGGTTTTTATATTTTTACTCAAAAATGGCGCATCGCAGCAAAACAACTCAAGAGAAATCGTTTGCTTTAACGTGAACGGGGAATTCAAAAATAGTTTTTGTTTGGCAAAAAACCATTGACGTACCATTTTTTTCTTAAAAAATATCGAAATCAATACCCGTACGCACGCCGCTGTTAAAACTAAAAATTATTTTTGCATCGAAAAAATATTTTTTATCTTTCACTACGTACTAAATATCAGTGAAATATTTGGAGCGGTTCTGAAAATATTAATTAATTTACATTTTTTTCATAAAACATCACAGTTTTTGTAAGGAAACATTTTTGGACCACAGTTTATAAAGCAAGCTAACATTGATTTTTCATGTAGAATCACACCCTAAAATATTCCCATATCATGAAGGAACACCCTGTATACTTCCATAAGTTCATAAATGAATCTCCTTGAGATTTTCTGCGTGGCCCCCAAAAAATTTCAACATTTTAATGCAGATTTGCGGTAATTAAAACTCCCCGCATATCTTCGACAGTCCAAAGACTTTAGGCCCACTTCTCGACAAGGGTAGAAGCTGAAAGTTTCGCTAGGAGTTCATTGCTGAGGGATGACGTCTGATTGGCAGGGGATGCTTCTCAGTTTACACTCGGAGATTGAGAGTCGATTGTTTCAAGCTCGGTTAAAATTAGGCTAGGCCTCCTTGATTTAGGAGAGGGTGGATGTGAATAGGACGCCTTGAGCCGTTTGTATGCTCGGCAGTTAATCTTGGATTGAAGTTTATCTATTGGCGGCAGGTATAAAACGAGATATCGATCTGGCTTCCGTAGAAGACTAATAAACGAGATGGTTGGAAAGTGTACCGATTGCGGATAGTATTGTCCCGTACCCTTATTACTGAACTGCAAAGGTTAGATTCAAATTCCATATTGACAATTGAATCTTGCAATTGTGTTAGCGACTTTTGCAAAATTCATACTGTGTACCAAATATTATACAGATGCGGCAGCTACTGTCGTCGGTCCCTTTGATCATGTCTCCAACTGTACATTGACGTGCGGACGAATGTGTACCAGGAGTGACTACACTCCATCAACCTGACGTTACGAACATGAATCTTCAATCACTGGGAATTCAGGCTACCAAGATTAAAAATTTTGAGCTCATCTGATTTTTCTGCCGTGAACGAGGTCATCATGGAGGGTGTGCTATCTACTGCAACCAGCATATTCTTCAAGGAAGAGCAAAAGTGCGTGAAGCATTTCACAGTATGTTTGAATGTGCAGCCCTTGAAAGAACTCGTCTTCGTCGTCGTTTCAATACATCGTCTTCAAGTAATTATAGATAAAATCAATAATGAAAAAAAGAAATGTGTCAAAGAATTTAATATAAATCTGTTGGTGACAAATAGGGAATCTTCAGACTTTACTGACATAATTCATTCCTACGGTTTGAAACCAACTATTTCCGATTTCACTAGAGTAAAGAACCACTCCAAATCATATTTGGACAATATTTTTACATAGATGTGCACTTTCAGTCTAAGATTATTGATGCACTTTTTTCTGACCACAAAGGGCAACATACCCTCTTTTCACTCAATACCAATATCGATCATGAATCCAAATTGATTATTAGAGTGTTTTCTGACTCACATATAAATAGTTTTCTACAAGATCTAAAATCAGCATAATGGAACGAAACCATACTAGTGTCAACGTAAACAGAAAGTGGGATATATTATCTCAGATAATACAAAGCAGTTTCAATTATTGTTTTCCTGTGAAGATAAAAAAGCGAGCTGCGAAAAGCAAGTAACCTCCTTGGATTACCCGGCACTTGGATCCACTCAGGAACAGGGTGAGCGCTCTCAAAACGTCATAAAATATAAAGATGTTTTTAAAAGTTATAATCAGACATATGAGAAACTCTTAAAAGATTCAAAATCGCAATACTAATTAAACAAAGTAAATAATCATGGCAATAGAAGTAAAGGAATTTGGAATGCAGTGCTAGGTCACCAGACTACGACTGAGCCACCAATGTAGTATCGTCAGCATAGAGATAGACTTCACAGTTGCTGGGGCTAGGAACATCATGGGTGTACAGTTAGTAAAGAATTGGTCCGAACCCTGAGGGATGCCGGCTGTAATCAGCCGTGTTGTCGGCAGGACAGTGATCCAAATGTTCTACCTTCAAGGAAGGATTTCAGTTTTAGAAGCCAAAAAGGGAAACCCTTTTGGAATAGTTCGTACAGGAGGCTCGCATGCCACACCTTGTCAAATGCTTTTGAGACATCTAAAAGCAAGATGGCAGTACTTTCATTAAAGGTGAATCCTCTGGTTATTCGCTCCACTAACCTAAACGCCTGTAGTTTCGTACAATCAATCAACCAAGAAACCTACCATTTGACCTTGGAGACCTTACAAGATTGAATATAACCTATATCCACAGTAAAAGTAAGTAAATTGAGTACACCCAGATGTCACAGTAATAGTTGACAGCAACCACCATAGGACTGAAATTGGCATTAATAGAACCTGCTTTCTGATAGGCTGACTGCCCCTTCTAGTAGTACTCTGTGCTAAGCACCAGAAGTCAGTGGCTTGCACCAGCGGTTCTATATTGCGGCAGTACTGAAGAGATGGCTCCCGTCTTGCACACCCGATCAAACCCGATCCGTCTCATGAATATCATTGCATTTTTTAATGAGGTATTTAATGTTACATGAATAGCTTCTATTGAGAAATGGTTGTCGTACAATCTTTTTTTTTTGTTAAAGAAAAACTGGCTTGAATATTTGCGGAAAAATAGAAAATTCATCAATCTGCTGCACCTTCAAATAACGTTGCAGTTAAAAAAGTTGTCATTGAAAATTGTAAGTACTACTCCATCTCGCCGTAGCGTTACCTGAATATATGTACATAATATAAATATAAATTTACAACACTCTGTATATTGGTAATGGGACATGATAGAACCTATATTTATCGTGCAACCTTTCGTTGTTTTTAGATGTACTTTCCACTCGAGAATTATTGCCGCGTTTTTTTAAGGTTTTTCTTAGGTTGGAAGCACCGCTTCGGAAATCCAAATATCAAACATTTTATGCAGTGGTTCGCCTTCTTATACATATATATACTAAGTGATAGATCCGAACACCCAGTTTAAATGGTTTTATTTTAATAAAAGTTGGTGAATGTATTTATCTTATTGTAAATAACAAGTGAAAAAATTTTCAGCCTTATCAGTTGGACATTCCGGTTTTTATACTGCTTTTTTTTAATTCATTAAAGCTCTAAAAATGAATATTTCAGCCGCAGTAAAGAATCAACGTTGGCGGATTTTGGTTCTTGACATCCTTTACGATCGGTTACGATGCCTAGAGTACGGAGACCTGTACGATTTCGTCAACTTAGTGAGTTTGATAGGGGCCGTATAGTGGGACTTCGGGAAGCTGGACTTTCTTTTCGGGCAATTGCAGTTAGAGTGCAAAGAAGTGTAGTCACTGTGGTAAGGTGTTGTCAGGCATGGCTTCGAGAAGGCCGTACGCAAAGAGCAAGGGGCACTGCACGCCGCCGTAGAACAACAGACCGTGAAGATCGCCGCCTAAGATTATTGGCCTTAAGGGACCGTTTCTCCACTACCAGGTCCATTGCAAATGAATGGTTTGCAGAACACGGAAGACCTATTGGCATGCGAAGTGTTTACCGACGAATGAGAAGTTTTGGCTTGTTTTCATACCGGCCACACTGGGTCCTCCCTTTAACTCGAGAACACCGACGTAATCGCCTTGAGTGGTGCAGACAACGGTCACTCTGGGATCAGGAATGGAACAGTATTGTCTTTAGTGACGAGTCTCGATTTTGTTTAGGCATGCACGATGGTCGTGCCAGGGTTAGAAGGCGACGTGGTGAAAGGAGGAATCCACAGTTTTTTGTTCAAAGACATGTTCATCACACTGTTGGAGTTATGGTTTGGGGTGCTATAGCTTATGGTTCCAGGTCACCTTTAATCTTCATCAGAGGTAACATGAACGCGCAGCGTCATATCCACGAAGTTCTAGAACCCCATCTTTTACCCTATCTTGACACCCTGGCAGATCCAACTTTCCAACAAGATAATGCCGGACCACATGTTGCAAGAGTCACAATAGACTTCTTTCAACATAATGATGTCACATTGTTACCATGGCCACCAAGATCTCCCGACTTATCCCCAATTGAGCACGTGTGAGATATCATGGTAGGAGATTGCTCAATTAGCAACGTCCTCCTCAGACTCTAAAAGCACTTCGAGAGGAGTTGGTGGTTGCCTGGAATGAGATACCACAGGAGAACATTGACCACCTGATCAGAAGCATGCCTTGGCGCGTTGGAGAATGCGTAGCACATCAGGGTGCATCCACACATTATTAAAGGTCAAAGGGCTTTAAAGCAGTGCAATCATTTTGAAATTCTTATCATTTACTCATTATGCTTCATTAAGTACTTACACAAAATTTTGTTAAAATAAAACCATTTAAACTGGGTGTTCGGATTTATATGTCACTTAGTATACATTTTGTGGTGGGTAAAGTAGATGATGATTAACCCAGATAATTCTGTGTAAAACTAACAAACCTTTCCACCTAAAAGGCTATGTAATCAGTGAGCCTATCTTCTTTATATATTGAAATGTCACTTGAAGGTACATCTGCCACTCACTACATGATTTATAAATATAATGTCAGACGATAAATTAATCGGGTTGCTGATGTTGCCAGGAAGATTTTTTTAAACACAACATCAAGTCAACTTAGCATTTTTCCATGGTTATACGTGAAGTCAGCGTCCCCAATTGCCTCAGCATAGCAAGTTTTGTTCGCTTCCAGCGACGAAAAACAGAAATGGTAATCTTTATTTGAGAAAGCCTAAAATCATATCATTGAGAATTTTCGGAAACTGTTGCAGTCTGCAGACTCGATCAAAACTCGTTCCTTTGACAAATCGGGTGAGATAATCAGGAATTTGATGTAAGCGTTTTCTAAATTGTCGGAATGTCTTAAACGTCCCATTCAAAATAGATATGGGTGTCCCCAGAGCTCAATTTCAGGTCCAGTATTACTCACATTTGGGCAACTTTTTTTTGTTGCTTCCTCCTATCGCCGCGGCCAATGAACCAGAACTACAAAGCTCCCGTGTCACTGGCGTAATAGTAATATTGTGTGAAAATTTAATCAAAATATAAGCAATATTTTCCCAGTTATAGACGGGGCAAGGATCAGCTGATGAATACACCGCCAGACAGACGGAAATGAGTGACACGGTTTTCCTGATGTCATGTAACATAAAAAAACACAATATCCCAATCCCAAATTTCTGACGATTACAATACCTTCTTACCAGTGGCGTGAGAAGTGAAAAAGATCACAAATTTGTCAGTTTTTTTTTTGAGATTGGTAGGAACCTCAAGGATCTCATCTTCCTGCTGTTATCCCGCGCAAACTGTGCTCAGTAGTAGTCAATGAAAAGAGGGTGGTCCTTTGTACCTTGGCTTTTGGATGCAAATGGTTGTGGACGAAAATAAATAACAAGTAACCATTGTTAAATCTCTGGTGCTAAGGGAGAAGTAAAACTAAAATAAAAAAACTAGAAAACCACCTAGACAGGTGCTGGATTATCTCAAGTAGACCACCTAGGGCAGGAAGTCTCAGACGCCTCGGTACCCGAAGGTAGAACCCGTTGGTGAAACCCTCGAATAATGACGGTTCACAGAAATGGGGACTGATCCTCACAGGCGTGATACCTTGACGCTACATTTGCCTCGGACTATCACTGCAACCAGTTCCCCACAGCTCGATGGTTTAGTGTAGTTATGACAATGGCTAAATCCCCAAGAGGGTTAAAAGAGGGCTCCTTCAACAAGACTCACTAATGGAGTCCGTTTTCTGTTGAAATACCACCACCCGATAAATTGCCAGCACTGGGTGTGAAGTTATTTCACTACAGCGGGTTATGAGCCGTTGAACTCCTACACGAGAGAACCGGAAATACGAGTAGCAGCAAGTTACCTTTAGCTCTTGTATTTTCAGTTGACAGAAATTATAAAAAATGATCTTTAACGAGACGAAATTCTACCACAGAGAAGTGTTATAAAATTATTGTTCTCAATAAGGAAAAGGTTGTAATAATTTACTTTATAGATATAGTTAATTCTTGGTCGACCATAAAAATAATCTGTAACACTACCCTGCCTGAGGCTCCGAGACACCTTAACAATTTTCGTGATTATATTCTAAATCATTGTAAAGTAGACAACGACGCAAGTGGATTAGCAATATCGCAGAAGTGAT